CCTGTGCCCGCCGCCGCGCTTCTTCTTGGCCGGCCTCTCGGCCCCTGCCGGGTCCGCTGTACGCTTCGAGGCCCGGGGTCGCGGTGCGACACTGTCTTTCCCATACAGGCGGCTCGGCGCTGCCCCATGCGAGGACCCGGCTCCGCCTGCATCGCCGTCTCCCCCGCCCAGTGCCACTACACCAACAGCCGGCGTCAGCATCGCCCACGCCGCGCCATGATCAGCATTTCAAGACACATGAACAGAGAAAACATATAGAACTTACCCGCGCGACGCCTAGCGCCGGCGTCGGACTCGGCCACCTCCTCCTCGCCAGGGGCCGCGGGCTCCTCTGGCGCCACCGACACCACCTGCGAGGAGCCTGGGCGTAAGGATGCCGAATCACGTTCAGAAGTATCACCCGCGTCGCGTCGGGACGAAGGAGAAGGTGCGCCGCAGCAAAGTAAGAAGACCAAACACTCACCTGCGGCACCGGGTTTGACTCGCTGTACGGCGCCTTGCCGAACTGTCAGTCCTCTCCAAGGTTGGCCTTGGAGATGTCGTTCACGCCGCGCGCAATCTGCTCCGCGGACAGCCACGTCGACCCCATGCTGTTGGGGTCCTGAAGGCCGATCATTTCTCCAATGAGGCAGGAGCGCCTCTGGAGCGGAAGGACCCGGCGCATGATGAACGCGACAAGGAGGTTGGTGCCAGTGAGCCCCTCCTACGTCCTCATCACCGTCACCCGCTCGCACAGGTTGACGATCTCCTGCGACGGGCGCCTGAGCGAGTAGCCCCAGTTCGTCTTCGCCCGCGGCGGCGCGATGGCGAAGAGCGGAAGGTTGATGTGGTCCACACCAAGGTTGCAGACGTAGAAGAAGGAGTTCTGCCACTTCTTGGCAGAATCCTCCAGCGGGATCTTGGGGACATCCGCCCCCGACCGCTTCGAGATGATGGCGGCGCCGTAGTCGGTGAACTCCCCGGCCGATGGGCCCTGCTGCTTCAAGGAGAAGAAGCGTGCCAAGAGGTTGATCGTGGGCTCGACCCCCAGGTACCCCTTGTAGAGGGTGACGAAGCCGGAGAGCTGGACGATGGTGCCGGCGCCAAGATGATGCGGCTGGAGCCCGAAGAACTCCAGGAACGCGCGGAAGAAGGTGCTCGCCGGCAGCCTGAACCTGGGCTCGAAGTGTGTGAGGAAGACCACGCGCTCCTGCTCCTCGGGCAGAGGCCTCTGCTCGCCGTGTGGCAGGCGAACGCCGACGTCCATCTCCCGCGGCAAGCGCTGCGACGCCCGAAGCTGGATGATGTCCTCGGTGGTGATGTTCGAGCCCATCCAGGAGCCTGACGACAGCGCCATGGACGAAAGAAGAAGGAAGCAGATGGACGATGGAGGAAGTTCTGCTTGGAGCAGCGGGCGCCGCAGTGCGTCGGTTGCAAAGAGCGGAGCGAGAGCAAAGGGACAGGAGGGTGCGAGCGAGAATAATGTCTGCCGCCCCCTGCCCCCCAATTTATAACCCTCGGTTCAAACGTGGGGGAGTGGGATCGTCTGCACGCGCCCGTTCCACTACCCCGCAATAAGTGCGCACGTACACGTGCAGTAACTTTCCGGGGAAGTGCAACCGACCCCCGGAAGCCGCAATAAATCCGCGTGCGTGGGCCAAGGGCACGCGGCGGTGGGTCCCATCCCGTCGCCCAGTCCCGTCACGCGTGTGGCCTGTCAGGCCCCTCCGGCTTCCGGCCACCACGTGGCGCCCGCGCAAAGCCTGAGGGATTGCCCCAAGATTTGACGGACTACTCGGTTCCCGCCACGGCCGGGATGCCGCAATCCGGTTTCCGAGAAAAACCGGCACATAATGGGTGTTGCCGGACCCGGCGCTTGCAGAATCCCCCTTGCTTAAGGGGAAAACTGTGAAGGCACACTCATCCGAAGACGGCGGACCTTCACAGCTTCGGGAACTACTGTCGGGGGGATGAACCACGGGCAGGCAACGGAACCCGGATCCTCTTCAAAAATAGTGGGGCCCACATCACCCCTCAAACCGGCACGCGCCCGGCCGGGTCGCTCGACCCGGCAAGGCCCGCAACCGGCCAAACTCTCCGACCCGGCAAGGTACGTCGACCCGGCCTCAGCAACTGGCGCAAGGCAGCCGAACCCGGTACGACCAAGGCTTCCCCAACAAGCCGACCCCACCCGTGGCGTACACCGCAATCCAGCCACGGGTCAAGCTCCCGTCCCATCCAGGCCGTACGATGGGACGAGACCTCAATCACTGATGACCAAGACAACAGTGCTTCCACCCATGCCTATGGTCAGCCGGAGCGTGGCAACAGTGCCCCTCACCTACCCGCTGGCCGGGGCTGGCGTGGCAACAGTGCTCCCACCCTCACCGCTGACGGCAGCAAGCGGCAACCTGACGGAGATCACTGTACGCGACTCGACTCGGCCAGGCCCTGACGATCGACAAGACGGCGCACAGTCCCCCTAGACATGCGGGGCCCACACCTAGGGGAACCTGGCGAACCACAAGCCCTCAGCGGGACCCATCCCGGCATCCCGGACACTGACAATACAGACCCATCGACTCGACGTATTACCATTGTAACCCTGGGGGGTTTGATCTATAAAATCCCCCAGGAACCCACGCCTACTGGGGCATGTACAAGGTAGCATGTGAGAAACAGATACAAGGGACAAGCAAGCAAGCATAGGACTAGCCACCAAACCGCAACACCGGAGAGAAGGAGCAGCCCAAGCCTTGGCCAGCTTCCTTCCTCCTCCATACAGCTCCAGGAGCAACATTGTACTATCGATCATCCAACTACACTCGGCAGGACTAGGGGTATTATCTCTCCGGAGAGCCACGAACCTGGGTATGTCTAGCGTCCCGCGCCCGCTCATGCCAACCTCGCCTCTGGAGACCACCAGCGCCCTCGAGTCTCCTCCTCTCTTTAGCCATCCCTTGGCATCTGCCGTGCGCCCACCACGACACTTATAATCCAATAATGCATGTTGCATGATCAAGGATTCTCATAGGTAGATCGGACGAATGCTAGTTGATCTAGATAGTAAATCTAACATCTATAACAACTCTAATGATGTGAAAGCATGCATGTTGAGATAATTAAAAGTAGCGGGATCACTCTTTTAGATAGGTTATGATCCAAATAAAACACATCAGTTTGTATTGAATTCGACAATTGTTAGAACACTATACTTTTTGTTCAGGGATTGCCTACTTCCGCTTGGTCAATATGCATGTGACATTTTCTATCTGCCCACGACACCACTCACAAAATTAGAATCGCCTTTTCTATTTCTATTGCTTCATATAGGAATGTTAAGACGTCACCTACTCCATGATTTGGACACTACACGATTAAATGCATGAAGCATGTTTTGCGGCACACACCAAAATAAAAGATTAGGATTGCTTTTACAGAAATAAAGAATAAACGCCAATGGATGTCTCACAACCCTCTTGAGGGCGTCGTGGTCTCCCTCCCTGTTCTAGGGTTCAAGTTGAAAACCCAAGTTCATTCCTTTGGACGCGACAAGGACGATGCTCTACGTCACTACCCTATTGGGTGCGTTGAGGTGGAACTCTGGTACCTTTCGTTTGCGGTGGAAGGTCGTCTTAGGGCATGCTTGGATTGTACCTCGAAGTATCTTGGGTTCCAAAGTGGGATGGTCCAGTTGGTCTCTTATCGGTTCCATGCGACTGCGTCGGCATCGCTATTGGCCTGTACTACTCCTCGGTCCGGAGTGAGAGGGCAGGTGTGGCCCTCTCTGACGACATTTGACGAGGGCTTTGTTGCACGGTCCAATGGTTCCTTTTGAAGACGTGAGCTCATACGGTATCGCCACCAGAGGCGATTTGCTGGAGTCTGCCTACTCATGTACTCTTTCTCGCTGGCGCAACCATACGCTTGTAGTGTGTCTCGTGTGTGTTGTCTATGTTATATCTTGGACCCTGATAAGTGCTATACCTATGCCACGAACACATGACAACTTCAAGCATTTTTATGGCAATTTTAGTGACGTCAGGATGACAACTTTAATTGTCAGGCATGAGAACTTCTTTTCGGATGGCAAGTTTCAATTTTTTTTTTCTTTTCGGATGGCAATTTTAGTTCAAAAAACGTCAGGGCCGGAGTGCTTCGTGTCACTTGTGTGGCACTCATCATTTGGATACATCTTTTGTTGCCAGCTCTTTCTTTAATATGTTTTTCATAAAAGGATTTCCTTGTGTATTGTTCATCAGTCCGGGTTTTATACATTAATTTTTTTTGAGAATGGGTTTTATACATTAATAATGCGGAGTCGATGTCTATTTTTTGAAATAAAGAAAACGGCCCAAAGGCCTGAAACCACCAATGAACAGAGATGGGAAAACATCAAATAAAAAGGTTGAGAAAAGAATGTTTGAGTTCAGGTCCCCAACCAAATCGAGTGAGGATGAGTTCTTGGACTCTTTTTTGTAGAACATATATTACGATGGACTCTTTACCGGGCGTATCCCTACCAAACAAATCACGTTTAACACGAGCAATACGTAGTTACGTGCTGTTCCCAAACATACTCCTATTTATTCTTCGCCTTGAGTTGCTCGACAAAATCGGCGATCATCATGCTACCGGCGAAGAAACGAGCGGGGCACCACCGCAGTCCGTGGTCCGACCTCCCGCACGATCTGCTTACAACCATCCTCGTCCGTCTCACCGCAACCTCCCCGGCCCTTCGCGACCGCGCCCGCTTCGGCGGCGTGTGCCAGACATGGCGTGCCGCCGAGCGCGCCCACCCGCGCCCTCCTGTGCCATGGCTCGTCGCCCCTGGGCACTACGTCAGCCTCCACGACGCCGCCATCTACCGCGTCCCGCTGCCCGAGGACGCCGCCGCTGCCACCTGTCGAGGTTCCTTCGGCGACTGGCTCGCCCTCGTGCCGCCGGTGTCAGGGCGCCCCTTCTTGCTCAACGCTTTCACAAAGGAGCGAATCAAGCTGCCGCGGTGGACGAAAGAGCCGATGGTTAAGTTTGTCCTGTCGTCCAAGCCGGATGCCAAGGCTTGCACTGTGGCTGCCATTGTTGAGATTGGAGACGGCGCCTACAGGATGAGTTGTAAGGTCGTTATCTGCCACCTGAGGCGGGGACGACAACAAGGGCGCTCCTGGGAGATCCTGACTAAGGCGTTCAAGCTCCAAGACATCACCTTCTTCGAGGGGAAACTCCATGCCCTTGACACAGAAGCCTGCCTCCATGTCTTCCAGGAAGAAGACCTACAACAGCGCCCTCATCAGCGGTGGAGCATGCCACCTGCGAAGCAGCAATTCTACGACGTCAAGCTGCACCTGGTTGTCCTCCATGGGAGGCTGCACATGGTCGGCAGGGGCTTAGGGACGACCCGGTGGACGACATTCACCAACAATATAGGGGTCTTCGCGCTCGTCGGCGAGATGACGAAGCCACCGGTGCCAGTCAAGGACTTTGACGGGCACGCGATCTTTGTCGGCGACGCCTGCTGCGACGCTTTCGTAGTTGAGGCAGCTGCTTTAGGCCGCATGATAAGAGAGAACCAGATTTGTTTCGTCGACGACGAGAAGAACATGATGTCGCTGGCCACCACCGGCCGCCGGCCTTTCCGGCTGCTGCAATCCTACGACGTGCGCAACGGCTGCCTCCGCGCATACGGACCCAGCACCGCCGCGGTGGGGACCTGGCGGTGCGTCACGGCACAGCGTTTCCCGCAGAGCAGCGCCATTGGACCACCGCTGCGGGCCTCTCTGTCGAAGGCGGAGCTGCTGCTGTGGAACGTGGCCAACTGCCTGGGAGCATGGGACCGGCCCTTATATACAACGCGCCATCAGGACGATGGCGCAGGCGTCGCCGTGACAGTGGAGATCGAGGTGCCCAAGACATCCAGAATAATGGAAGGGGAAGAGCCCCTCTTTGAGTGGAGTTTCACGCAGCAGCGGGGGTCAGCCAAGAAAGCGAAGCAGGCGGCGGCGCACGAGGCCGTCACGTTCCTGCGGAGTCGGTTTCGCAGCATCCTAGACGACAGCCCCTGGAGCTCCGTCCCTCACTACCATAGCCACGTCGACGAGGAGGAAGAAGCAGTCCAAGAAGACGACGCCGAAGGCGGCAGTTTGTTTGGGTATACACATTGGTACGGTGACATTAACTACTAGCTAAGGTGCTCTGCTTTGGCCTTCCGTTGAGCGTCACTTGCTTTGCTCTGCAGAAACGTGTTGGGCGTGTGCAAAACATGCGCTTGATTGGAGAGATCAAGAACTCGTGTTTATGCAATGTTATAAAAGAGTCGGCTTGGTTTTTAATAGGACTCCATAGCTATATATAAACATGTCATGCCAGTAAAAGTTTGCATTAGTTGAGTGTATCTAAGTCACATGTAAAAGTTGACGACATAGTCCGGTCCTTTCATCACACTTAACTTCACTCCCCTTCGCCACCCGAGCTCACCTTTGGCGGTTTCCGACATTCTTCGCCATGGCAGGCAATGGATCGGACTCCGACCAGTCCGGATCCGTTGATTGGGATGTCATCCCATATGGGTTGGAGGAGGCAATGTCAATCCGCATTGCACTCCGCCGCTCCCGGGAGGACAGCGCCCGACCGACAGACGGATCCGTCCGCCGCGACGCCACAGCGTCGGCTCATCGGGCGCTTGGGTCCTCTGGTGCTGGATCCTCGCAGTACCGGCCGGAACACCTGTCCTTCCCCATCATCGGTCGGGCAGAGTATGAGTGCCACCGGGAACGGGCGGCCATACTGCGTCTTTGACCGGTACATCCGCGAGAAGGACGGGAAGAGCGCCGGGAAGAGTAAGGGCAACCGTGGATGAATTCCACCGTAGCCAAACATGCCTAATTTTGGTAGCCCGATGACATGTTTAGTGTAGTGTGATGGAGTAACCGAACGATGTGTGTACGTCAACGTAGTTGCATGAGTTTTTATGGATTTGAGATATGGTAACTTAGGTGTCCGGATGTGGATTATATATTTTGAGAAGTGTCCGATCAATGTCCGCGGATTTTTGAGTGGCCGGATTTGCCAAGTCCGCCTATAGATGCTACAATGTTTTTGGCTTCGGCTAAGTTTCGGTTAGAGAAGTTGTCTAACCTGTTATCGATGATCAGTTAGATGCTCTTACCCTGCATTCAATCTTTTTTGATCAATTATAAGTGACATATACTTTAGGAAAAACTGACGCATTAGTAGCATTTATAATAACGAGAATGCTAAATTCCTGCCGACTGGCAGTTTGCATCAGATCCGAACGATCCGGATCTCGTTCATTCGGAATCGAATGGCAGTTATCGAAGCGAGAAAAAGAAAGGGGCGTGGACGAGAATCGAACCCCCGACGTCCTTGTAGGCACGCCACCGAACTAACCATCTCACCCAAACTTCGTAGTTGTTAAAATTGCGAACACCCTGGATTTAATGCATAGTGGTCTTTTTTTGAGATTAAAAATCTGAAGAAGTTGCTAATTTGATGGCGCATTTAGCGGAAAGACTTCCTGAAACGTTGATGTCCGTGATTTTCTCTTTGGATTAGATCCATCATGATTTTTTCTGTGTGCTAGATCTATTGATAGACCCTATTTACAGGAATTTTTTAGTCAAGAAAATTGATTCTCAATATAGGATTCGAACCCACAGCAAGCAGCTTACGTGAAACACTTACCACTAGTAGAAAAGGGGCCAATGGTCCAGGCCGGTCCAGCCCATTAGTCCCGGTTTAACCCAGAACAGGGACCAATGATGGCATTGGACCCGGTTCGTGAGCCCCGGGGGCCGGCCGGGCCACGTGGGCCATTGGTCCCGGTTGGAGGGACGAACCGGGACCAATGGTTCTCGCTCCTGGCCCACCATCATTGGTCCCGGTTGGTGGCATGAACCGGGACCAAAGGCTGCCCTTTAGTCCCGGTTCATGCCACCAACCGGGACGAAACGGTTGGTCCTTGTTGCGGTCACAGTTTAGTCCCACCTCGCCAACTGAAGGGGAATTAGACCGGTTTATTTTCTTTTTTGCTATATTTATTTTTTTCTTTTTATTTCTGAGTTGTAATAATTCATTAAAAATAAGCATCTATGCTCATTTTTTAGTAAAGTTAATCACAACTATTTTTTCTTATATTTATTTCTGAATTGTAATAAGTCATTAAAAATAAGCATCTATACTCATTTTTTTAGTAAAGTTAATCACAACTATTTTTGCTTCTATTTATTTCTGAGTAGTTTTTTATATAGTTTTTTTTCTTTTCTGCTATATTTATTTTTTTCTTTTTATTTCTGAGTTGTAGTAAGTCATTAAAAATAAGCATCTATGCTCATTTTTTAGTAAATTTAATCACAACTATTTTTTCTTCTATTTATTTCTGAATTGTAATAAGTCACTAAAAATGAGCATCTATGCTCAGTTTTTTAGTAAAGTTAATCACAACTATTTTTGCTTCTATTTATTTCTAAGTAGTTTTTTATATAGTTTTTTTCTTTTTTGCTATATTTATTTTTTTTCTTTTTATTTCTGAGTTGTAATAAGTCATTAAAAATAAGCATCTATCCTCATTTTTTTAGTAAAGTTAATCACAACTATTTTTGCTTCTATTTAGTTCTGAGTAGTTTTTTATATAGTTTTTTTTTCTTTCCTGCTATATTTATTTTTTTCTTTTTATTTCTGAGTTGTAATAAGTCATTAAAAATAAACATCTATCCTCATTTTTTTAGTAAAGTTAATCACAACTATGTTTGCTTCTATTTATTTCTGAGTAGTTTTTTATATAGTTTTTTTTTCTTTTCTGCTATATTTATTTTTTTTCTTTTTATTTCTGAGTTGTAATAAGTCATTAAAAATAAGCATCTATGCTCATTTTTTAGTTAAGTTAATCACAACTATTAAAAATAAGTCATTAAAAATAAAAAAGAGGCGCAATGCTCGTTAATTTGCTTTAAGCCTTTCGGAATAGTGTCAGTTGCACTGCCCATAGCTCTGTGCAGTCTACCCTATTCCTCAAGGCTTGAAGCTAACCAACGTGCAGGTGAGCATTGAGCCTCTTCTTCATCGTCTCTGCACTCAGGGCTTATAAACAGCTGCGAGTGCCTCTCGCTTGGCGAGGTGAGACTAAAAAAACAGCTGCAGAAAGAATCAACTAAAAAACAGCTGCAGAAAATAAAAAATTAGACGGGTCCATTGGTACCGGTTGGTGGTGCCAACCGGTACCAATGCCCCTCTTTTGTACCGGTTGGTGCCACCAACCGGTACCAATGCCCCTCTTTTGTCCCGGTTAGAGCCACCAACCGGGACCAAAGGTCTTCGTTTCCCGCCCTTTGGGCTGCCGAAAAGAGGCCTTTGGTCCCGGTTGGTGACTCCAACCGAGACAAAAGAGAGGCATTGGTCCCGGTTTGTGGCACGAACCGG